ATAAATCTACATTAAAAAAAAAAAAAAACAGTACGGTATTAGATAGGGAATTCCCTGGTGGTCCAGTGGTTAAGACTCTGAACTTCCACTGCAAGGGCCATGGGTTCAATCCTTGGTCGGGGAACTAAGATCCCGCATGCCATGTGGCCAAAAACAAAAAACAGTATGGTATTGGAGTAAAGACAGACATATAAAGCAATAGAATAGAATAGAATCCAAAAATAAACCCTCATAAGACAGCAAAGGCACAGGTAACAAAGAAAAAATAGACAAATTGGACTTTGAAATTTTTTATATTTTGTACATCAAAAGACACTATCCCCAAAGTAAAAAGGCAACCCACAGAATGGGGGAAAACCTTTGCAAATCATATGTGATACCAGATTATTACCCAGAATAGAAAACTCAACAACAACAAAAACCAACAACCCAATTCAAAAATAGGAAAAAGACCTGAATAGACATTTCTCCAGAAAAGATATATGAATGACCAATAAGCACATGAAAAGACGCTCAACATCACTAATCACTAGGGAAATGCAAATCAAAACTACAATGAGATAGTACCTCAAACCCATTAAGATGGCTACCATCAAAAAAAAAAAAAAAAAAACAGCAAACAATTGTTGGCAAAGATGTGGAGTAAACAGAACACTGTTGGTGGGAATATAAAATGGATGGTACAGTCGCTGTGGAAAACAGCATGGTGGTTCCTCAAAAAATCAAAGATAGAATATCATACGATCAGCAATTCCACTTCTGGGTATATGCCCTTTAAAAGAATTGAAAGCAGGGAGGATCCCAAAGGGATATTTGTACACCCGTTTTTTTTGTCTTTTGGCTGCACCATATGTGGGATCTTAGTTCCCTGACCAGGGATTAAACCCCCGACCCCTGCATTGAAAGCACGGAGTCTTAACCACTGGACCACCAGGGAAGTCCCCCATAGCAGCATTATTGACATTAGCTAAAACATGGAAGAAACCCAAGTGTCCATTGATAGATGAATGGATAAGCAAATGTGGTGTATACATATAACAAAATATTATTCAGCCTTAAAAAGGAAGAAATTCTTCAATATGGTACAACATAGATAAGCTTGAGGACATTATGCTAAGTGAAATAAGCTAGTCACAGGAAGATACATACCGTATGACTTCACTTACATGAGGTACTTAGAGCTGTCACATAGAATCACAAAGACAGAAAGTATGATGGTGGTTGCCAGGGGCTTGTGGGGGGAGGAGAGAATGGAAAGTTACTGTTTAATGGATACAGAGCTTCAATTTTACAAGATAAAAAGAATTATGGGGGTGGATGGCGGTGATGGGTCCACAACAGTGTTAATATATTTAATACCACTGAATTGTACACTTAAAATGGTGAAGATGGTAAGTTTTGTTATGTGCATTTTACTACAACCAAAAAAAGAAGAAAAAAATATTAAATGATACCGCCAAAACAAAAGAATAATTACACATTTTAAATAAATGAATAAATAGCCATTCCACATGCAGGTATTTACACACAGGAAATATAAGCATATATCCACACAAAGACATGGACATAAAAGTTCATAGCAGTTCTATTTGTAACAGACAAAAACTGGACAGAATCCAAATGTCCGTCAACAGCTGGATGGATAAATAATTTATGGTAACTCCATAAAATGGAATACCACTCAACAATAAAATGAATGTTGATTTTCTTTTCTCTAAACAAAACTTCCTTCAGCCACTATGCATGGGCACTCTACAAGAGGGAAAGTCCAATAGCCTCAAGTCTCACGAGGAGCATTTTCCAGGGTCATTGGTGGCCTCTGGGGGAGGACGACTTTAAACAAAGTCCCTGATTGGGGCGGGTGCTCTGTCCAAGTCCACTGCCTCTGTCCTGCCGGTCAAACCCACTGTGCCCCGGCCAGCACGGGGCTGAGGGATAAGGTCTGGGACAATTCCTGAGTCAGGCAGGGATGAACTATTTCAGGAAAGTGTCTCCCACACGGCGCCGCTGGAGCCAGGGCAGCCCCGGTGCTGCGGCCCAGCAGAGAAGTTTTGTGACTGCCCCCCTGGGGTTGACATATCCTTCTCTGTGTTTGGCTTCTGTCTGGGGCAGAGGCATGTTACAGTTTACAAAGCCCTTGGGGTGTTCCAGGGGCACCCAACCAGAATTTCCAGCTTGCATAAACTGAGCAGAACCTGAGCCCGGAATGAGGCCGGGACGTGCCGCAGGAGTCCGCTCTGCCCGGGCATTTGGCCCCCATGAAGCTGTGATCTGAGACGTAGCTCCCCTCCCCCTTCCCGCGTCCCTCTGAGATGATCAGCACACACCAGCCTCTTCAACTGGACACAGCGCCCCAGAACTCAGGACACACTGGCACCACCTGTTTTCTTCGCCCCCACGTAATAAAATTGGTTGAAGAGCCTACGGGACTTTGGGACCGGCGCCCTCTGGAGAGATTTCATACATCAACTCCCCCCGCCCCAGCAAAGAGGAAACTGCCAAGTAGGAGACAGGGAACAAAGTCCTATCACTGGGTGAAAGGAGACTCGAGTCTGCAAGCGGCGGAGCAGAGAGACAGGCCAGCCACCCAAGGGAAGCTCCACTCAGAGCCAGGCTACCATGGACACCCTGGTCCGACTCCTGCAGCTGCTGGTGCTAATCCTGACCCTGCCCCTGCACCTCATGGCTCTGCTGGGTTTCTGGGAGCCCCTGTGCAAGACCTATTTCCCCTACCTGATGGCCATGCTGACAGTCAAGTGCAACCGCAAGATGGACAGCAAGAAACAGGAGCTCTTCAGCCAGATAAAGGGGCTGGCAGGAGCCTCAGGGAAGGTGGCCCTGCTGGAGCTGGGCTGTGGCACTGGCGCCAACTTCCAGTTCTACCCATGTGGCTGCAGGATCACCTGCCTGGACCCGAACCCTCACTTTGAGAAGTTCCTGACAAAGAGTATGGCCAAGAATAGGCATCTTGAATATGAACGGTTTGTGGTGGCTTTCGGAGAGGACATGAAACAGCTGGCCAGTGGCTCCATGGACGTGGTGGTCAGCACCTTGGTGCTGTGCTCGGTGCAGAGCCCAAAGAGGGTCCTGCAGGAAGTTCGGAGAGTACTGAGGCCGGTGAGCAGAATGGGAAGTGTATGGGCACGGGGCAACAAACGTAGTATCAGCCACCCCGGTGCCCAGGGCACCCAGGATGAGGAATCTCAGGCACTAGTGCATTAGACACCCACCCACCCCCACCTGCTGGTGAACAGGAGATATGACCAGGGCCTGGATGGGGCAGGATAGGGTGCTGTGGAATCACACAGGTGATCCACCTAACAAAGGGGTAAAGAGGGGTGAAGGATACCTAGGGATGTGGTGTTTAAACTGAGATCTGAGGGGTTAAGCAGGGGGTGGAGGGAGTGGCGGAAACAAAAGAGTGTTCTAAGCAGAGGTATTAGGGGTAGTGGAATCCATAAAGTTTGGAACTGGGTGTGGACAGAAAGGAGTTTAGGTTGATTTCCAGGTTTCTGGCGTGAGCGACTGGTGGAGGGAGTGAGGGAGGGTAGAGAGAAGTGCCATTTGCAAGATAGAAGAAACCTGTTTTGGACTTGTTAGGTCTGTGGTGCCGTGGAAACAGCCAGACAGAAAACCCAGAGGCACTTGGAAGTCCAGATCTGGAGGTCAGAAAAAGATGTAGCCTGGAGATTTAGATTTGGAAGTCACCAGCTGTAGCTGGTAAATTCCAAGCGCATTGGAATTTGAGACTGAAACAGGAAAGGCCGTAGAATATCTGGCTTGTATCACCTGTTGGACATTTCCTTTTGGATTCGTGCTTTCTGGAAGGTTTAAATTCATTAACGTTAACAGTTACTTATAACTTTTGGTTGTTTTTTTTTGTTTTGGGTGCATGAGATCACCTAGGGAGGGTACAGTGAGGAGGGAAGAGCTGGAGGAACCCCAGCTTACTCAGGAGCCCAGTGCACCTTTCCCTGGGATGCTGGCTGAGATGTCCGGGATGCAGGCGTCTTGGTCTCCGGAGAGGGCTCAGCGCGAGCATCTCTGTATCCAATGAGATCTCTGCTCCTGGTTCCCCACCTCCCCATCTGTCTACCCTCGGCTACGCTGGCCTTCAGGTCATTGTTTAAAAATCTCTCACCGGTCATGGCCCCTAGGTCACAGGAGGCTCTTCACACTCACTTTGAGTTGGGGGGTAAGAGCCGGGGGATGCAGAGAAAGTCACAGAGCCAGACGATCTCCCTAAACTCGCAGGCCAGCACCTCCCACTCCACCAAGAGGTTTTGACCAGGCTTTGTCAGCGGGATGGAGGTGAGAGTAGAGGAAGGTTGCGGAATGGAGCAGGTAAGTGACGCTCTCTCTTCTCTCCCAGGGAGGAATGTTTTTTTTCTGGGAGCACGTGGCTGAGCCGCGTGGAAGCTGGGCCTTCCTGTGGCAGCAGGTTTTAGAGCCCACCTGGAAACACATTGGGGACGGCTGCTGCCTCACCAGAGAGACCTGGAAAGATCTGGAGAATGCCCAGTTCTCTGAACTCCAAATGGAACGACAACCCCCTCCCATCAAGTGGTTACCTGTTGGGCCCCATATCATGGGAAAGGCGGTGAAATAAGCCCCTCCTTCTCCCACCTCTGCGGGGGGAGCCCCCCTCCTTCTCTAACTTCAATCCTTCCTTGTGCATGAAAAAGCTCTATTCCCATCCTGACTACGGGGAGGAAACAGTTATACCCTGTCATATCCTTAACTGCAAATTCCTCGACTGGGTCTCCCAGTTTTTGCCCACTACCCCTAGGACAGCTCCCCGTCCCTTCCCCATGTTCCCCCCACTTCTGAGACCACACCCACGTGCCCCCAGGACCTAGTCACAAAAGTCACCAGTATCCCTGCCAGGCCACCTGGGCTCCCTCCAACCACCACCTTTGTCCTGGTCTGTGGGGATGCAGAGAGAACCAGTCCTCTCTGGAGACCCTGCAGCACTCAGCAAAGAAGCCAGAGGTTTCATCCTCACATTGTTTTTAATAAATAGACAAAATCCACTGATGGATGCAGCAAACTAAGGTCAGAGGAGAGGGGAAGCTAGGGAGGGAAGAGCCCCTGAGTCAGCGACATAACCTCCTCCCCACCCTCTGGGCTTAAGGCACTTTCAGGGAGATAGGTCTTTGGGGGTCTCATTATACAGGGTGAATGGGAGAGGGAGGGATTAGGGTCCCTTCTCCCCACTTTTGCATCAGGACACCACTGCCCTCCTCACCCTCCCCCATGACCCATCCCTGATTTACCCCCTCTCATCTCACAGCATCCTAAGGGGAGGTTTGGGGGTGGGTGGGGGTGGTCCTCACGGGGAGAGAGGTCTGTGCCCCTGAGGAAACAGATCCTGCCACATCCTGATGGGACACCAGCAACCCAGCCTGCCCCCTTCATCCCTAGGAGCCATCTCTGGGGAAGGGGTGCAGGGGACCCATGGGCCAGGCTGGGAAGAAGGAGGCTAGGCAGTGCCTGGCACAGGGTGCCCATCGGAGCCCAGCTCTGGGTGCCCATCCGCAGCCAGGATGGGGTGTGCATCGGGGCCCCCCCCCCGGGGGCCACCCCAGTTGCTCCTCAGGATGGTGCCCGTCTTCTCTTCCTTGAACTGTTGCCGGTCTTCCCGTGGGATCTTCACCGCGTGGTACTGGGGCACAGTGGCTTCGGGGTACCGCGCTCGCTTGAAGAATCCCATCTGGAAGAACAGCAGGCCAGACATGAGGAGGCTGTGGGGCTGAGGTCCCTGGAGCAGATGCCCAGCACAGCCCAGCTTCCTGCCTCCACCATCCCTGGGACAGAAAGAACCAACAGCAGCAGAAAGGGGCTGGCTGGGCAGCAGCTCGTGCAGGAAGCAGCCCTCACAGGTGCCACCATCAGTGCTGGGTCCCCAGGTTCTCACTGACAGCAAGAGAAAGACCAGGACGGGCCTGAGGTGCAGGACCAAGGACATCTCCCTTGGTGCCTGAAAGAGGGGGTTGAAGGTAGAACAACAGGACTGCTGACCCCAAAGGTTTCCACACCCCCAAGATTCTTAAGAGACCCAGTAGCATCCCCTAGAACACAAACAAGAGCAGAGGGAAAACATGGCTTCCTAGAGCCCCGCAAACTCCAGAATGATTCCTCTCAAGCCTCATACGCACAACCCCTGTGTACTGAGCAGCATCGCCCTTAGGGCGGGCCCTCTCCTCTATGAATATGGTAGCCTGGCCCCTCCCTAAGTCATGAACATGCTGGCCCTTACCTACCAAGACAGAAATGTGCCCCTTGCACACTCACACTCAGGATTTCCCAGGACTCCTACATGCTGGACTGCACAGCACCTCCTTGCACATGTGTCTCTGCACACTCATGCCCACAGAAAAGACATGCACGGCACCTCCCTTGCACTCCCCACAGGCTCACAACCCCAGGAGCCCACCCAACCCTTATGCATGCCCCAGGCTGTGCACACTCACCCTTAGGGCCTCACCCTGACAACCACCTCCCCTCAGTTCCTGGAACTCACACCACCCTCATGCAATCTCCTTTCTACACCCTGCACATTCCTGGTCCCCTGAATGCTGGGAGCTTGACCTACACTCACATACATACCCACACACACACACACACACACACACACACGTGCACGCGCGCGCACACACATGCTCACACACAACAATTACCCCACGGTCCCTGGACCCCCAGCTTCCGCAGCTGAGGGCTGCACGGCCAGACGGGCCCGTTGGTAGTTGGTGGGGAAAGATGAGCTCTGGCTGTTCCGATGGAAGAAGCCACACTGGGACGTAAGGGAGGAAGGGAGCAGGAGAAGTGGAGGATGGGAAGACTGAGGAAGGATGGGGGCTTCTACCTCTGCCTTGTCCCCCTTCCATGGGAGCAGGAAGCAGAGATTCTGGAGCCAGTTTCTCAGAGGCATCAATCTCCCCTAAGAATGGCAAGGTTCCCAACAGTCTGGATGCCCAAAGGCCTGGTCCACTGATGACTCACATTTGCCAGAGGGTGTGCTTGGTCCTGGGGGGGGGGGGGGGGGCAGTTCTCCATAGGGCCCCAAGGGCATGCATGGCTCCACATGGCCCAGATGTGGCATGTGGTTCACGGGATGACTGCTGGTGATGGACGTGATTCTCTGTACTGACACGCACATGAACGGGCTTTTAATGTGGAGCCCCAGACGCACATGTGATTCTGGCTACACTCTGTGTGTATGAGAATGGTTCCAGGTAGAGCCTGGTATGTGGAGGTTCCGAGTTCAGTCCTGGCAACAGTTCCCTGCAGGCAGTTCTCCACACTGGTTGGCTTTCTTGGCCACAGTTTCCTTCCCAGCCTTACCCACCATGCTCTAGTTAAGTCAGACCACACTTCCCTGCCTCCATGGCTTTGCCCCTCATAGTCCTGAAAGGCCCACACCCACCCATCCCTCTCCCCACATCCAGATCCTACCACCCCACCTTCTAAGGCGCAGCTCCAGGGCCACCTGCTCTCAAGCTTTCCTTCGCCTGAGCTCCCACTGCACTTTCTTGACTCAGTCCACTGCCTCGTCCTCGACTACTCCCCTCCCCAAAACCCCTGAGAACAAGATCTACATCTGACTTATCTCTGAAACATCCAGGGCCTGATAGAGACCCTGGTACACGCAGGGTAAGTGCTCAATGCAGATTTGCTGAATAAATGGGAGACTGGGTGAGAGAACCACACCATGAAAGGCCACCTGCCTGACAGGGGAGCCCTGCCCCCAGCGGCATCAGCCTCCCCAAGCCTCACCTTCCACATGAGCAGCACGAGCAGCGCCAGCACCAGCAGCCCGGCCAGTACAGCCAGAAGGATGGCCCACCAGGGGACTCCTTCTGCCACCACAGCCACGGGGTCCAGGTATACCATCACTGGGATCTGGGGAGCAAGGGGTTAAGGGAACAAGGGCTGGAGCAACAGGACAGAAGAGCTTCCCCTGCTCCACCCCCCAGCCCAGCAGCTCACCACTGTGGAGGCATCTCTGAGCAGCAAGTTCTTGATGGAGGACTTCACGGTGATGTTGGCTTGGACAATCACTTCCAGGGACTTCACAGCCGAGTACTCCTAAGGGAGCAGGGAAGGAGACCCTCCTCCTAAATGCCGCCACGCCCCCACCTCCCCCCAGCTCCTGAAGTTGTAAACGGAATGGTGCCCAACAGGGAGGGTGTTTCTGCCTGTCTTGGGTTGAGAGTGTGCTGCATTTGGACAGGAAGGAGGAAGAAGAAGTGAGCCCCAGGGCAGGTGTTGGGGAAGAGGATGCCCAGCCCAGCGCCCCAGGCTGACTCTCACCTCCAGGAAGGTGCTGTTCCAGAGGCGGCCCCAGACATGCAGCACAGCTGCACGGTCAAAGCTGTAGAGAGGGCAGCTGAACACCACGCAGCTGGCCGTGCCCCGGGTGCAGTCCTGGGGACCAGGACAGGCAGGGCTCTGAGCTGCTTGGCCCCAGCCCACTGAGCTGCCCAGGGCCCGGCACCCTCACAAATGTGGTCACACAGACACTGTCTGCCCAGAGCCTTCCCTCCATCCCTCCATGAGCCCCCATTTTCCCCTGGCTCTTCATTCAATATCTCTCCCATTTTCCTTACCTGGCTTCAAACTCCCCTCCTCCAAGAAGTCTTCCCAAACTAACCCTGTGGTCCAAAATAGCAGCCTACCCCAAATCTGGGCTATTTGGCTTTGAAATGCATGGGGAGCAGGGAGGAGGCCTCTTGACAGCAGCAGGCAGAGTATCTTCCCCAGTAGACACTTATGTTACCTAATGACAGTCCCATATATTGAGCATCTATCTGCAAGGTACTTATCTCATTTAAATTCACAACTGTCCTGCATGGTGCATATTATTATCATCCCCATTTTTCAAACTAGGAAATTAAAGTTCAAAGAGGCCAGGTGACCTGCCTCAGGTCACACAGCTAGCAAAGCTGGAAAGAGTTGGAGCAGATACTTGAACCCAGGTCCAGAGTGGGCAAAGCTGCGCTCCTCTGCAAAGCCCAAACTCACTGAAGGAGGAGGAGGATGCCCGGAGCTGCTGGGGGGACAGGGGACTTAGGCCCTTCTCCTTCCAAGCCTGACCTAAATCCATTTGGCCCAGTCCCACCTAATGGCCCATTTGCCTAAATATTAATGTTCTATTCATCACGCTGCCTATACAGAAGAATGGCCACTTTCGAGCAATTCAAGAATCCTTGGTCAATTTGTCTAAAAGTCATTTTAAGTAAAAGAATCCATTTCAAAGTTCTTATTAAAAAGGGTGGCCTTTCAGAAGAAATCAGTCACCTGGAGAAAGCACGACTATCCATGTAACAGGGAAACAGCAGTTCCACAAGCTCATACCACCCCTGAGCTGCCTTCATTTGCTTTCCACCATGCTCTCAGGGGGGCAGGGAAGCTGAGGGCCCCCAGGAAGGATGGGCTGTGGCAGCGGAACTTCCTCCCAGACAGATGCCACCAGAGCTGGCCCAACTGCTGCCCTCCCCCTGCCAAGGTCTCTTTGCCTCTTTTTGCCTCTATTGCCCATCCTTTCCACACCTGGGATTCACCTTCTGCCACCAGGCCAAGCACCTCCTGATCTGTGGCCCCCCCCCCGCCAACTCTCACTGCCAGCGCCATCCTAAAAGGGACGAGTACACAGAGTCTGCGCTAATCTGCTCAGTGAGCCCCGCCAGGAACAAAACCGTGTGAAACAAGGAGGAAACGGGGAGGCAAAAGGGCTCGAAAAGGATAGGCTTAATGAATCACATAAATATACTATCGATTTAATTATTAGAACTTTTAAAACTTTCAAGTGTTTTTTTGACATTGTGAAAATCAAGCAGGTTTCCTTATGCAAATTGACTTTCTGGCCTAAAAGAATTCAAAAGAATAACAAACAGATCTCAGAGATGGCTAAAACCACCCCCTATAAAATGTGACCTTTCGGGCTTCCCTGGTGGCGCAGTGGTTGGGAGTCCGCCTGCCGATGCAGGGGACACGGGTTCGTGCCCTGGTCCGGGAGGGTCCCACGTGCCGCGGAGCGGCTGGGCCCGTGGGCCATGGCCGCTGAGCCTGCGCGTCCGGAGCCTGTGCTCCGCGGCGGGGGAGGCCACAGCAGTGAGAGGCCCGCGTACCGCAAGCAAAAAAAAAAAAAAGTAAAAAATGTGACCTTTCATACAAACGCAGGGAGAATCAACTGCCTGGGTAACGGGCTATGGTAAGTGCCCTGCTCTGTAGTGAACACCTGGTGGGCGTGGGGGAGCGGCGGTGGCGGCAGGTGTGATGTGAAGTGCCCTGTCACCTTGCCCCCGGTGTCTGTGACCATCACGGCTATTGACAGGCCACCCAGCACCCTGAAGCTCCCTGCCCTCCCCTCTCCCCACCATCCTCTGTCATACCACGTGCCCCACCCCATCCTGCCTGGGCCACGTTTGACCGCCCTCACCAGGGTGACGTTTTTCTTCTTCTCAGCAGAGGACACTGGCCACCAGGATGTGCTGGGCTCCAGCTGCTCATGAGGCTCCTGCGGCTCCGGCTGCCCCAGCTCCCGCCGCCTCCTGTCTCTGCTGTCCACATCCTGAGGTGGGGAGGGGGCCCAGTGAGGGTCCCTCCAAACGCAGCAAGGAGAGGTGGCACCTCCTCCCCAGCACCCTCCTCCTGCCCCCCCGACCAGCCACAGACCCCCAGCCCCATGGCATCCTTCCCAAAGTCTTCCCACGCCCCACCCTGCTTCTGCGGCCCCACCCACCTCGCCTAAGCCTCACCAGGTGGAGGATGTTGGGCCTGGGGGAACAGAGTCCCCTCTGCCCAGGCCCCTGCCCGCCCTCCAGCTCCACCCGCATGGGGTACAGCAGCCACTTCCCGTTGGCAATCTCGTGGGGCCACATGATGTTGAGGAAGGCTGAGCCCAGGGTATTGAGTGACTGGCCTTGGTTGGAGACCTGTGGGCACAAGAGAGTGCGAAGGACAGGTTCTAAATCCCCAGAGATGGAGGGGACAGGGCTGTGGGGAAGCCTCAGGAAGCATAGCTTCAACAAAGACTCAGGATCCTAGATCCAGGCACCATTCTCTGCCCACCCCAAACCCAGGAAAACCCGGAGATGTCACCGGGAAATGCGGGGAGGCCCCAGCCAAGCACGGGCAGGGTTCTGAGGAGAGACATCAGCCCTCCCACCATGTCCCCATCCACCAGCGGAGGCCCCTGGGCCCTCATGGCCTCCCCAGACCAGCAGGTGAGATGTCCAGTCAGGAATGAGCAGGAAATGGTCAGCTGAGCCCTCAACACAAACACCTACACACAGCCAAGGCCCAGGAACTGGGGAAGGCCTCGAACCAGGCGCCAGATGGGAGGAAAGCCACAGCCCTTGGGACATGTCTCAGCTTCTCCTCTGCGCCAAGAAGGGAGGGACCTCAGCAGGCCACTTACCGTAACCTCATACTTGACCTTGCTGCCCACGTCCCGCTCGGACTGCATGGCGCTCTCGCCCCGCACCGCGCCGGAGAAGAAGAGCTGCTGGGGGACGGCCACCCTGGCGAGGAGCGGCCAGAACAGGGCTGAGGAGGCCTGGGGCCCGACGGAGGGTCAGGAGGGCCAGGCCAGGTGAGGCAGAGCCCAGGCCTGGGTTTGGGGGTAACAATGCCCACCGCTCTGGCGGAGGTGCCCCCCTGGACAGGGCTTACCCCGTGATGGACAGTGGCAGCTCGATGAAGACATGGGCTCGGGCAGAGACCGGCTGCAGCTCCTGCTCGCTGATCCTGGCGTGTGGCAGGGGCAGGCGTGGGTGGTGGGCACAGGCACCGCCCCAAGGGATCAGGTGAGGACGGCAGAGCCCTTTCTAGGTGGACTTCAAGCCACTGCCCCCACCCTCACCCACCCTGCCCCGCCAGCCTTACGTGGCCAACAGCAGCTCCACCTCCAGCTCTGTGGTCCCAATGGTGATCCCTGAGGTGCTAAGGATGAGGTAGAAGGTGACCTAGGCAAAGGGTGGAGCAAGATTAGAGTCTGGGAGGGCGAGGGGCTTGAGGAGGGGTCGGGGTGAGAGAGCCACTCAGATAGAGATAAGGGCAGATATGCCGACCTGGGCACCTCTCTTCATGGGGTTCCCCAGCTCACACTCAACGTGGGAGGCGTTCTCATTGGACAGGCACAGCGGCTTCTCCTGGAGTGGAGAGAGAAGGAGAGATCAGCTTGGGTTACTGGAGCCCCCAAGACCCCACCCCTGCCCTGCCCCGGGCCCTCACCGCAGGGTCCAGGGCCCGGACTCCTGAATAGTGCAGAGAGGCAGGGAGGGTGACCAGGAGCTGGGCTTCATGGGCGTCATCCCCATCAGCCTGGGGCTGGGCTGGGTCCGAAGGCAGATTGGTGACCTTCAGCTCCAGGCCGATGACTGGCTGCCCACTCAGTGCAAACAGGGCTGTCGTCCCATCCGCATCCCTGGGGGGTCAGAGCCCACTCACTCTAAGACCGGAACACCTGCCCCCGCCTCTCCCTTCCTCCTCCCCCTGCCAGTGCATGCTGCCTGCCCCCACTCCCTGAACCTCTCCTCCCACCCTGGCTCTCCCGAATCTCCGCACACACTGGTCCAAGCCTCAGACTCAAGAGAGTCAAGACTGGGAGTCAGGGGACCTTTGTTTCTGGCCCCAGCTCCAGCACTTACTGACCTTGGGCAAGTAACTTAACCTCTCTAGGCCTCCGTTCTCCATCTCTAAAGGGGGACTAGTAATATTTCCTGCTTCATGGGGTTGTGAAGACTTAGCAGTATGTGAACTGTATAATTTTTTTTATATGGTGAAGGCTTGTCACTCTCTGCCAGAGGAGCCCCTGTGGGCCCCTCACTGCCCTCATCCTGCAAACTTCTGAGCTCTCAGCAGGTCCTCCCCACCTTCCACCTTCCACCCTCTCCCTGCAGGCTCAGCCCCCGCTCCTGCTGGCCCTCCCAAGGGGACTTCCTTCCGTCCCTTGATCTCTTGCCTTCCCACCCCACCTGCTCCCTCGCTCCCCCTCACATGGGCAGAGGTTGAAACTCCGTGTCGCTGACACGGGCGCAGAACCGGGCGTGGACCAGCTGCAGATTGCTCTGACACACCTTGTCTTCACCACAGCCTTGCTTCAGAAAGTGGATCTGGGGAGAGATTTGAAGAGGGGGTCTTCCCAGGGGGTGAATGTATCGCCAAGGCATGTGGCGGGGTAGAGGACCACGGGAATCAACAACCTGAGTTCAACCCGCAGATGTGCTCCTTCCTAGTTGTGTGACACCCAGCTGGTCACCTAACCGCTCTGAGCTGCATCCTCATCAGTAAAATGATGGGAGTATTACGATGCCGTGGTAGAGAGCAGCAGGCTAGTCCACAGCGAGGCCGCATTTCCTTGGCCTTTCTTGCATGTAACTAAGTCCCAGACTTAGAACGTGAAGAGAAGTAAAGAGCATCACTTCCGGACTGGCCATAAGAACCATACAAGGAAGACCCTGCCCCCCTCCAACTGATGGGGATAGAGGTGACCTAAGGACCTTGGAGGCCACATTTGAACAGGGCAGACCCCCACCACCCTGGGCCCCTGAATGACTGCCTGTCCCCTCTGACTAGGAACGCATGATAATTTGGGCCATTTTACATCTGTGGTCCACCTGTTACAGCATCTAGAGATATGAGGAACAACTGGGGTAGCAAGCTATGAATGTCACTGGCGAGGGATTCATGATCCCTGTCCCTCCCAGCTTCTCTTCCTGGGCTAAACCAGAACGCATGCTCACCTCTGTCCGCTGGGTGCTGGGCTGGTGGGCATTGAGGATGGGGGCCACGGGGGGCAGCCCCTGGCCAGGAGCCTGTCTCCAGAGCCGAGGGGTCTGGAGACTATAGGACAGAGTCACCACGATGGCCCGAAGCTTGTCTTTGACATTCTCCTGGGGAAGGGAAAAGATAGACGTGAATACAAGAACAACCCCCAGACCCCAGCCCTGCCCAAAGCCCCAGCCAGACCTAGGACAGATCCTGGAAAGAGGCTCAGGGAGACGAAGGAGAGAGGTGGAGAACTGGGCTAGCGGGGGGAGAGCAACTGGGGTGGAGAAGGGAGGACAGCCAGGATTTAGGGCCTCGGGGACCAGACGAGAAGATGGAACCTGCCGTGGCCATCTCCAGGGCGTATAGAACTTGACAGGAGATGCAAGAAAAAGGCAGGTAAAAGAGAGGCCCGAAAGGGAGCCTTCCCAAAAGTCGAGATCTTAGACTGAGGTGTGAGTGTGTTTGGGAAGAAGATGAGAGGAAGCCAGGGGAAGCCCGGAAAAGAGAAGATGCGATGACAATGACCCTCAGAGGCCAAGGGGCCAGCGTCCACCTGAAGCTGAAGCATAGTGTCTCCACAGACTCGGTCATGCTGGTGTTTCAGCCACACGGTGCCTGAGGCCTGGTGCTTGGGGTCATCCGGGCCACGGCTCAGGAAGGTCACACGGGGCACCTGGCCCCGGAGCCTCCGGTCCGTGTCCCCATCTAACGTGTAATCCAGGGCTGTGGCAGGTGGGAGAGGAGGGGCCAGTGAGCTGCAGAGCAGCTCCAATGGGCCCTTCTCTGCACCCCGGAGTGACCCACCCTGACACCCAACGGGGTGAGCGTGGAGGGGCCTCACTCACCCACAACGGGGCTGTAGCTGCTGGGCGATGCAATGTAGCTGAAACAGACCCTGAGGTCCATGCTGCGGGGACAAAGACAAGGCTGACAGGCCCAGGCTACACCCAAACCCTGCCCACTCCTGCCCCAGCCCCAGCCCCAGCCCCAAACTGGGTAGACAGCGGAGAACTGGACCCTGGAGGCTCCCCTCCACCCTCCCCTCGGACCCCGCCTCACCAGACCGAGTGGCCACTGGCGCAGTTGGGCTGTTCTAGGTCGATGCTTCTTGGAAGAATAGAGACCTCGTGGGAGACATGGAGGACAGGCCTGGCCCTGGGGAAGGGGGAGTCCAGGGCACAGGAAACATGAGATCATGAGGCTGGGAAAGAGGGGAGGCGGCAGATCTGGCACTGCAGAGCGGCTCCAGCCTTGGGGAGGGGGAGGCCAGCAGAGAGGGAGGGCTCACCTGAAGAGCACGGCAGTGTCGGCCAGGGAGCCCACCAGCAGGTCCGGGTAGCGGTTCCCATCCACATCCAGGCCACCCGACAGAGAGTAGCCAAAGCTCTTTATGCCCACAGCCTCACCCTCCAGCACCTGGGGGACCAGACCATCAGCCTCCCCACCCATCACGCCCCAGCCTCTGCCTCCCCTGCCCTCTGCTGCTGTGCCCCCTGGGTCCCCCAGACACCCATTCCCTCATCCCCACCACTCCCCTCACCTGGGAAGGTTTGACGACAAGCCCCAGGCTGCTCCCATGGTAGATAAAGACTTTCCCATCCCCGTCAAAGGGAGCCCCTACAGCAAGGTCTGCAGGAGTGGGAGAAAGGCAATCAGACCTGGGGGCTGAGGGTGGGAGGCATGAGGTCCAGGCCCCTACTTTCCCTCAGTCACTCAGTTCCATACCCTATGTTTTCTATTTTATTGCGAGGGTACTAAGTCCTGGGCACCTTACACATGTCATTTTTAATCCTTTCAGCTACTCTCTGCAGGTATCACTAGCTCAGAAAGTGTACTTGCCCAAGGTCACAAAGCTGGTAAGTGGTAAAGCTCAGACAGGAACCCAGGTTGCTCCTCTCCCTGAGCCCTCAGAAGACCTTCCCCTTGACCTCAGAGGCACTTCTGCACCCCTGCCCCTCCCTCTTCCCTCCCCCCCTTCCCCAGCCTTCCCTGTCCCCAGTCACACCTGGGAAGCCATCTTGGTTGAGGTCCCCCAGGACAGCCAGACTGATCCCAAACATGGAGTCAGGAGAGCCGCAGAGCCGGAGAGGGGAGACCCCAGCCCAGTGACCCCCCTGGTTCATGTACACATACACGGCACCCCCCAGTTCTTCTTGGCGCTCAAAGAAGTAGGGGGCACCCACTACCAGATCTGTCCAGCTATGGAGAGAGGGAGACAGCCAGTGGAGTCAGGAGGAGAGGCCAGAGGCCCCTTACCCCTCCTAGACCCAGCCTCCCCCAGGCTCCACCCGCCTCAGCCCACTCTCACCCGTCATTGTTAAGATCAGCCACCGCCAGCGAGTAGCCAAAGCCAGAGGTCAGGCGCTCCCCGGACAGCATAACTTCAGGCACCAGGCGACTGGCGCTGTCTTTGCGCAGAATGACCACAGCACCCTTGTGGTTGGCACGGGGGGCCCCTGCCACAAAGCTCAGCTCCTCCGCTCGCACCAGACTCTTCCCCGAGTCGATGGAGAAACCTGGATGGGGGCGACTCACCAGTGAGCTCTCCCCACCAGACTCCCAGCCAGGGTAAGTCACAGCTCCTCCCACCCTGCCCCTCCCTAAAAGGTAGAGGTGCCCTCTGAGGTATCACCACCACAGCTGGACCACTCCTCTTCCCCTCCAGAGGCCCGGAAGCCCTCCCCACCCAGAGGCTAAGGTCTGGCACAAGAAGTGAGATGAGGTCGGCCTCAGGGACTGGGGAGGAAGGAGAAAGGCAATGGCTGAGAAGGCCAGGCCGCTGGGCTGGGGGCTGAGGCACCGGCAGGAGCTGGGCCAGGGCGCCCCCATATGATTCTGTGGAACTGCTCTCCTCTCTGCACACCCAGGAGGCCCCCATCCCATCCAATGCACCTTCTTTTCCCCCTACTCCCACCATCCTGGCAGGAAGAGGAAGACTTCACATGGACAGAAGAGGAAGAAACGGGGAAATCGGGAAGAGCTTGATTCACGCAAGCTTCTCCCAGGCCTCGTTTCCTCCTCTTCTGCAGAAGGACGAGGATGAGAAAGGAGAGGGACTTACCAACACAGCTGGATCTTTCTCCGCACATGCCCACCATCCATCCCTCAGAGAAAGTCCCCCAGAGGTCTAGCCTCCTTCCTTCCTAGTACAGCCTCAGCCCATCTGGATCTTCCTCCATGGAGACCCCCGTTCACAGCCCCGAGGCTTCACCCCTGGGGCCTCTTCTCCTTGGGCCTGGGTTACTGGGCTCAGCTCTTGTCTGTAATCTGGGCCCAGTGGGTGTTTCTCTGGGTACGTATTGGGGGGCAGGGCAGGAGAGGTGGGGAGGCCAGGCCAAGCCCCCAGGGCCCAGGAGGACGTGGAGGGGAGCTTACACACCTAAGTAGCTATTCAGGGCCAAGTCTCCGGCTGGTCCTGGGAGCCGGTCAGCAGGGTCCAAAGTTTTATACACCAGCTGGTCAGGGTCTGAGCTATCAATGTTGGTCACAAAGAGCAACCCTGCGGGGGGCGGGGCAGGGGAGACACCAGGGAAGGGACATCCAGAGGAGGGGCCACAGAGTGGGGAGACAGAGGCAGACAGAAAGAGAAAGAAGTGGAGAAAGAATACAAGAGAGACAGACAGACCAGAGAGATAAGAATCAGAGACAGAGACAGAGTGAGGGACAGAGACAGAGACGGAAGGATGGGAGCATGGAGAGACAGGACAAGAGAGAGAAGCAGAGGGTTAGAGCGGCTCCGGGCCGGGTAGGGGTCCCTACCAAAGTAGCTGTTGGCAGGGACGGGGATGAGACGGGGGTCCTGCTCCTTCTCACCCCCCGCCTCGTAGGGCCCGTCGTCCAGATGTGCCAGGTCCGCTGAGCCCTGCACACAGAGCTCCACCCTGGCCGTGCCTGCAAGGACAGACCTGTTAGTGCCCAGGGCAGGGAGCACGGAGCACCCGCAGGCCGGGCGCTAGTTAGACAGGCACCCAGGGAAGCCCCTCCTCTCTTTTCCAGCCCTATCTCCACCCCCTCCTGGCCCAAGCTGCCTGGGGTCCCCCAGACTTGGCATCACACTCACCGAGTGTCAGCCCAGCCAGCGGCAGCGTGCAGAGGTGGGAATGGGAGTGATGAGGTGTGGGCTGGTGTGTTGGAGCATGCGGGCCCCGGCTGGGCATGTGGGAGCTCATGCCAGCATGTTGCGGAACTCTCGGCCATGCGGAGGAGAGGCGATGGCCCCGTTCGTGTGCGTGCTGGCATGGCTGTGGTGAGAAGCGTGGCAGGGCCCCAGGGCTCCACGGCAGTGAACATGTGGGCGTGCTTGGCCACATGCTGCCCCCAACCCCCTCTCTGAGGTACTGGGCATTTTGGTTCCCTTCTCCCCTTCCCAGGGAGTCACTCACCCTTCCAGTTATAGGTTCCTGGGGCCCCAAAGAGGAGGTAGTGGCTGTCGGGGGAGAAGGCAGCGGCCGTGCCCTGCTGGCAGAACCCAAATTGTTCATGGCCCTGGGGGCGTCCCTCACAGAACTTCCACTCCCCGCCATCCAGCTCATCACGGATGGCCAGGTCCTGGCTTAGCACAAAGCAGCGACCAATCACGTCCCTTGTCTCCAGGATCTGGTCCACACGCTGCCGCGCCTCGTATCGGTGCGCACAGGTCTGTGGGAGAAAAGGAGAGGGTGTCATTCCACTGTGAGGGCCAGGACCCTGCTTGAGCCACACTGCCCGTGTGCAGACATTTGGCAGACACTGGTTCACTTGCACACGCGTGCACGCACGCAGGTGCGTACAGGCGCGCACACACACACACACACACAGACACATCTGCCAGCATCACTTGGGCACCGCCCCCCAGCCCAGTGTAAGGCAGCTATATATATAATCCCCTGCCCTATCCTCTCTGCACCCACTTCTTCACCCTGGCAGGAAGAAACCCTGTTGTACATTCTGCCCGGGCACCCACAGCACAACTAAGCCAGCACCCAGAACTCGTGTCTCCTCGATCCCGCCAGATGGGACGATCCCCAACATGCCCAGCTTGGTACTGCCTCTGAACCTTCCTAAGCACCGCCACCTCATCTGCAAAGAACTGCCTCCCTTCTCCACTCTTCCAAGTGTTGCTTATTCTGGAAATCCTGGCTCAAATCACCCCACCGGCAGGAGTCTTTGCTCTCCATTCCTCCCTTGAACTTGTATAGACTGGGGAACATACCACTCACTTAGCATTAACCATATTCTGCCCCATAGGGACTTATTGTTTGTGCATGTTAGTGATAACACAGAGAGAGAGAATGAGAATCTCTGGAACTATGCAGGAGGCTAGTTGAGAACCAGGCTTTTCCCTGAGTTTACACGTCCTCTCAGTAAGTAGCACAATGCCTGATGTTTAAAAGGTTTTCGGTAAGTTTGACAACTCAGTGGATGGATGAACGGTTAGATTTTTTTTTTTCTTTTGCGGTACGTGGGCCTCTCACTGTTGTGGCCTCTCCCGTTGTGGAGCACAGGCTCCGGACGCGCAGGCTCAGTGGCCATGGCTAACCGGCCCAGCCGCTCCGCGGCATGTGGGATCTTCCTGGACCGGGGCACGAACCCGTGTCCCCTGCATCGGCAGGCAGACTCTCAACCACTGCGCCACCAGGGAAGCCCACGGTTAGATATTTTTATATTTATAAGGACAGGGACCATGTCTTACACCTTTTTGTATCTCTCTGAGGTCCTCAGAAGCAGACCATCATACCACATTGCCAACCTGAGTTCTGTAAGCACATCTGTGCATATGCACACACTATATACACACACACAAGTATGCGGGCCTCTCACTGTTGTGGCCTCTCCCGTTGTGGAGCACAGGCTCTGGATGCGCAGGCTCAGTGGCCATGGCTAACCGGCCCAGCCGCTCCGCGGCATGTGGGATCTTCCTGGACCGGGGCACGAACCCGTGTCCCCTGCATCGGCAGGCAGACTCTCAACCACTGCGCCACCAGGGAAGCCCACGGTTAGATATTTTTATATTTATAAGGACAGGGACCATGTCTTACACCTTTTTGTATCTCTCTGAGGTCCTCAGAAGCAGACCATCATACCACATTGCCAACCTGAGTTCTGTAAGCACATCTGTGCATATGCACACACTATATACACACACACACACATACACACACCACCCTTGCATAAGTCACAAGAAGTGGTACTCACTGCAATTATATTACTGTTACAGAGTTAAACTGCTCTTCCTTCTTTTTAAAAATTAATTTTCATGATCTTTTTCAATAAAAATAGTAAATATTAAAAGTCAAAAAAAAAAAAAGATATGGTACTCACAACAATCTTGCCCCCAGGTCCCTGGCTCCGAACACTGACTCCCAACCACTGGTTCTCCTTACTCTCCTTCTGCACGTCAGCTGGAGGCGGGACACTGGGAATTAGGGGAGGAAAGAGGAAGCCAAGTCCTCCCCTCCCCTCCTCCTGTGCCCCCCACTCCACCCCCACAGGGCCCTCACCTCCCCGGTCGATGTCCACTCTGTAGCAGTCAGTCTCTTCCAGGCTCAGGGGGCAAGCGAAGAGGCCTCCAGTGCGATTCGCCTGCTGCCCAGGCAGGGCCAGAGCCTGGGGAGCGCCCACCAGCAGCCTGCATGGTGGGGCAGCAGCAGGAGTTGGTGGCCACCTCCCCAGAGCTGCCCAGGCCCAACTCCTCGGTACCAGGCAGAGTGTTGAAGGACTAAGGCAAAGGGCCAAAAGCCAGTTTTCCCATGTCCTGATACGGGCAAATTAACACAATTGGCCGTGCAATCATCACATTACGCATGCACATACCATCTGGATGAAGAACCACATACATAGTAGATACACACACATACACACACACACACACACACACACACACACACACGCTCACGCCACCCAAGCAGCCTGGCCAGCACTGCTGGTTTGAAAGAACCGCCTGTTCCCAGCACCTGTTCCTGACCAGCCCTTCCTACCCCCCACTCCCTGGCCCCATCCCCAAGCTCTGCCCTCCTCCCCAACCACAGTTCAGTTGAAACCTTCCAAGAAATGCCAAAAATGCTGGGAGCAAAAGTAACAGCACCATGAGGTGGACCAGAGACCAGCCTTGGGGGGGCCAAGCAAGAGACTAGATATGGGTCCGCCTCCCTCACCCTCTCCTCTGGGATCCATCAAAGACCCACTGCCCAGCAACCGTGCCAGCCCGGGATTCTATCAGTCACGCTGGCTGCCATGGAGGGAGGGGCAAATTTCTCTTGCTGTCTCCAATCCTAGCCCCGTTCTCCCCATACATCCTGAATCCCCTTCCCCATCCTTCCTTCTGCTCCCCCTGTCCATGATTTTCCCCATTCCTCCCCCGCCCCACCCCCGCCCAGCCTGCTCTCCTACCTCCCCCTCAGATGCTTTCCCAGCTACAACTCTCTTGGCAGGACAATTTTCCATGATCACAGCCAAGGCTTCTTCCCCAGGGGAGGACCGTGCTGGGAATGGAAGCTGCCTGGGTGCCCTGGGGAGGACCCCCAAGCCAGGAGTGAAGGAGAGAGAGAGGTGAGGTGATTGGCACCCAGCTGGCTACAAGGATCTTCTCTTCGCAGAAGGAGACTCAAAAGCGTCAGCAAGACAAACCTCGAGGCCCCTCTCCCCCACTCTCTTCCTCCATCACCCTCGCTGGGGCGCGAGGCCCAAAACTGTGTGGGGCAATACTGCAGACAGGCATCTGTGGGGCACTATGCCAGTTCTGATGGGGCACAGAGCCATTCTCCCTTCCCACAACTCCTCCTCGTCTCTTAGCAGCTGTCACCCCGTGTCAGAGCCAATGTCACGAGAGAGGGGGGTGGGGAGTGTAAGGGAAGAGAGCATACACTGGGCATTCGTTAACAACTATTTATTGAGAACCTATCATCTGCCAAGCCCTGTGTCAGGCACTGGTGATACAAGGAAGTAATATTTATTCAGCACCTACTATGGGTCAGGCCCTAGGCTAGATGCCAGGGATATGAGGAACTAACCTTTATCACTCTCTACTAGGTGCCGGGCACCAGGCTAGGCATGTTACGTGCATTATCTCATTTAACCTGCACAACAGTCTTATGTGAGGATTCTTTGCTTCTCTTTCAGATGAGGAAACTCACTCAGAGACATTAGTTGGATGCTGGAATTCAAACCCACATCTGCCTAATTCCAACATCCATGCCTTTTCCACCCAATGACTGGCCACCTTCCGAAAAGGAAGACAGGGATGAGGAGAGGAGGGTACCCAAGCAGAAAAAGAAGCTAGGTGGCATGGCCAACCTTCAGACAAGTCCTTGGTGCTCCCACCTCCAAACACAGAGGTGGGGAGCCCTTGGAGGACTGGGGCTGCCTCATTCATCTTTGCATTTGCCCCCTAGGAGGTGTCCATATGTGTTTGCTGGACCCACACGTTATGCAGGCTCACAGAGACGTGCAGTGTCTCAGCTGGTCAGCGCATAACTAAGCACCAGGAGAAGCTAACAGTCGTGTTTTATGCTCACATCTCCCCTGGAGGTCATGAGTAGGGAGTAGAAAGGAGGGGAGGAGTCCATATGGAGGAAAGAAGCTGAGTGCATAGCTATGCCCAGCCCCATCCTTGGTGGAGAACAGACCAGACCATCCCACCTGGAACAAGGGTTCCCACACACAGCCTCTCCAGTCCCTCCACCTCTGCCCCAGCCACACACTCCCTCCTGGCTTCATCCCATGGTCCCCAGCCACCCCAGACCTCTGGACAGAACAGTATCCACAGATGCAGCCACTGCAGAGAGAAAGGCAGCTAGGAGCAAAGGACTCCCTGGGAGCCTGGCTAAGTGGAGGTGAAGGAGTAGCCCAGTACCTCTGCACTTCTCAATTCCCCATTCACTCCAGGCCCCAACCCAAGTCCGGCCCACTCTGACTCTCTCAATCTGGGTGGCCCTCTGGGGAGGGTGCTTGGCCTGGAAGGTTGGCTCAGCCCGGAGGGTGCTCCAGCCAAGCCTTTGGATCCAGGCTCGCTGTAAGGCACTAAAGCTACACTCCAGCTCTGTGGATCACCATACAAGAAAAAAGGTACCAACACTTTCATAGCACCCACTGTGGGCCTCGCACTATTCTCAGCATTTTACATGTGTTAACAACTCTTTCAATGCTCACAACAACTCTATATGGTAGTACAGTTGATGGTGTTACAGTTGATGGAAATAAACGAGGCTGAAACCACAGAGCAAAGAAGGTTACACTTCAAAGTCTCATCCGGGGCCAGATTGAAAGACATCAAAATTGGTGAGGTCTTGCGATCAGCGAGGGCTGGGGAAGGTGACCTGCAACCCCAAAGCCAGGGACTTAGCGAGGTATCTGGCCTCTCACAGGCCACCAGACAGCAGAGCGCCCCCTGCTGGAACAAGAGCAGGGTGAGGGGGTCAGGCCCCTCTGGGAAGGCCCCCAGTTTGGCTCAGGGGCCACCATCAGAGATGAGGGGGAAATGACAAGAGACCAAGCTATTAAAAATAACCTAGAATTTGCCTGGAAATAGTTCAGAGAGCTCAGCATGTCCTAAAAAGGCCTCCAGTCCTAGAACTCTAGCACATGGGGGGAGGGGGGGAGGGAGGGAGACAGAGATGAGGGAGGAAGCAGATAGAAGGCTGAAGAAGAGATGAAGTCGGTAGCTTTCCATTGCTCCCAAAGTTTGGGGGACTGCTTGACCCTGCTCCCTGATGACAGGGATAATGCAAGAAGAATCAGAGCTAGCCCCTCCTCCCTGAGCAGGGGAGAGAAATGAGCTCTTGTCCCTACGCTCTGCCCCCAGGCCAATAGCATTGGGGAGAAGATAGTCCCAGTGGACAGCACTGATCCCAGTAATGGACACTTAGTGTGGCTTAGGCACTGGCCTAGGAGAGAAAAGTCCCCAGGCAGGAAGGGGTGGGCCGCTTTCTTCCCCTTCCTGCCTCTCTTTTTAAAATCGTTTAAGGAGCTGGGGCCAATAGTACAGGAAGCATGACAGTCACAGGCCCCATAAGTGTGTCTTTCTCCTGCGGGTCCCGAACTGATTAGAAAATAACCAGAATTGTCCTCTGCCCCTCATTCTCCCTGCCTCTCCCCACTGCTGAGATTCCTGGAGCTGGAAATGTCCTGAGGAGGAGGAAGGCGAACAGCCTGGCCAGCATCCTTCCTGGATCTCTCTCACTGCTGCTGCTGCTGCTACAACTTTGGAGGCTCTGTTTTCTGCCACCCTCTATCACCAAACCACATAGCTCAGACTGTCAGACCCTCCCATGTCCTCTCCCAGCCTTCCTGTGGTCCTGAGCCACAGAAGCGGCAGCCCAGCGTCCTGATGCTCTCTTTCCATCCCATGGCAATGCCCTGGCAGGAAGTTATTTCTGGAGTCTACCCTCCATCCCTGCATGGCACCTTCAGCATCTCTGTCCTTTCCCTCTCCTCCTGACCTAAGCAGAGGCCAAATGCTCAATCTCCCTCCCTGAGGGAGTTCAGCCCCCAGAAGGAGGGGAGCCACAAGCCCTGGGACTGGAACAAGAATGCAAGTTGGGGTGAAAGGTGAAAGGAGATAGCTCCCAGCCAAGACAAGAACCTTGTTCTCCAACTTATCCCCAAAGCAAGATGCTGGGTCTCAGACCCAAGACAGGCAAGGTTCCAGGCTGGGGTGTGGGTTATCTGTAGACAGCCTGAGTCTTGATGGGGTTGGAAGATTGAGAGATGGGGCGGGCCGGGGGGGCATCTGTGGCTCGGGCACGGGGATTCTGCGCGGGTGTGGTGACTCACCAGCTTTGGGGTCCGGGCTGCAACTGCCGATGCAGAGCCACAGAGAAGCCAAAGAGGCTCCCTGGCTCGCCCTCCTTGCGCAGGGCGCCCATCACGTCCAGATTGAAGGCGACAGCCCCTGGGAAGAGCAGTCCGGCAAGCAGGGAGCCAAGAAGGTAACAAATGCCAGGGGCCCCCCATGGATCGCGGCCCGGAGTCCCTGCCATGGGGCGACCCCCGCGCGCGCTCCGGGAGGGCGCAAGGAAATCCGTTCGCGCCCCGAGTCCCAGGTCTCCCGAGGCGGGTCTCTGATCAATGAGTCTCGCTGGTCCTTCAGGGGGTCTCCCAATCGCTCAACTCCTCCCACCCCCACCCCTCACAACTTCCACCCTTGCTGTCCATAGGTTTGTTCTCTACATCTGTTGCTCTATTTCTGGCTTGCAAAAGGGTTCATCTGTACAATTTTTCTAGGTTCCACATATATGCGTTAATATAAAATATTTGTTTTTCTCTTTCTGACTTACTTCACTCTGTATGACAGTCTCCAGATACATCAACGTCTCTACAAGTGACCCAAATTCATTTCTATTTATGGCTGAGTAATATTCCATTTTATATATGTACCACATCTTTATGCATTCATCTGTCTGAGGGCATTTAGGTTGCTTCCATTACCTGGCGATTGTAAGTAGTGATGCAATGAACATTGCAGTGAATGTCCCTTTTTGATATATGCTTTTTACCTGGGTATATGTCGAGTAGAGGGATTGCTGGATCATATGGTAATTCTATAGTTAGTTTTTTAAAAAACTAAATACAATTCTATATAGTGACTGTATCAATTTACATTCACAACAATAATGGAAGTGGGATCCTTTTCTCCACACCTTTTCCAGCATTTCCTGTTTGTAGATATTCTGATGCTGGACAGTCTAACTGGTGTGTTCGCGCCCCGAGTCCCAGGTCTACCGAGGCGGGTCTCTGATCAATGAGTCTCGCTGGTCCTTCAGGGGGTCTCCCAGTCTTCCGCCTCGCCACCCCTCTCCCGCCGCTCCGCCGCCCCAGCACCAGCCAGGCCAACTGCAGCGGCCGCAACCTCTGGTCCACTCCGGCTCCCGCCTCCGCTCCCACGGGTGCTGGCCCGGCCCCGCCCTCGCCCCGCCCCTCGGCCCCGCTGCAGGTGGAGGCCGCCGGAGTCGCAGAGGGATGCCCAGGAGGGTGGCTCCGGGTGGGAACCCTCCCAGCCCCACCCCACCTCGGGCGCCGCCCCCGCCAGCGCTCTCCCTTTCCCCCGACTCCTGCCCTAGCCCGCGAGCGGTGGAGGCGGCGTCTGGGAACGGGGAGGGAGTGAGAAATACGGATAGAAAGGCGCCGAAAAGGAGGAGCGGCGGGGGGCGGGACGGGTAAGAAATGGGAAGTGGATGAGGCTCAAGGGCAGTCTGGGAAGAGAGAAATGCAGAGAGAAAGATGCAGATGAGTCCGGAGTGGTCCCTTAATGCTACCTTCTCCCCAAGGACACACAGAGCACCTCTCCTGCTGTTTGAATCAAACCATTTCCCACCCCATCCCACCTCTCAGAGTCCGGCCGTGGCGACGGCTCTGCTAGACACATACGTCGTCAGCGTTCAGAGAAGCAGAGGAAAAGAGAGGCGAGAAGAAAGAAAAACTCAGCAGGCCTGGGGAGGGGAACAAAGGAGGCAGGTAGAAAGAAAACTGAAAGAGAAAAGAGATGGAGAAAGAAGGGTAAGAGTTTGATCAACAAGGACGGAATGAAGGGAGAAAACAAGGAAAAGACTGAGGGTGATATAGGAAGAGGAAATTAAGCTGGGGGGAAAGCATGGACTGTCAAAGAAGGCCAAAAATGTGGGAGATTGGCCCCAAGAGGCAGAGAGATGGGAAAGATGTCTCTGGCTTCCAGATCCTTCCCAGAACCGTACATTTCCTACCCTCCAAAGGGGAAGGGATTGGAGGGGACAGGGTCCTGCGCTGGCCCAGGCAGGATCGGGGTGGGGCTTCCCAGGGATGTGCACAGGGACTTGTCCCTGTGCCTCTCCCTTCCCCCCAGGCTGAGACAAAGGCAAAGGGGGGGAGGACATTTTCTAACTGTGCTATTTATAACTCTAATCCAGAAATGGGGCCAAGAAGAGAGATAGGAAATAATTTGACACAACTGGAACCTCACTTGCTGCCACATCCCGTTCCTAGTTCTCTTTCTTACTGGGTGTTGGTCTTGGGTACATCCATCTTTCCATTGTTCTCCCTTCTCTCTCTCACCCTCTGGTTTTGTCTCATCCCCAGCTCTGTCTTTGTCCCCCTTCTTGTCTCTGTCACTTGGAATCTTTCTAGACTATTTCTCAATGTCTCTAATGTTTCCTTTGCCCCCCAAACACTATCATATCCTTAAGACTCTCTGTTCTCCCTCCCTGTCTTCAAAGCTCCAGTATGTGTTCTCCCTAATTCCTCTTCCCATGTTCCCTTTGTCTCTCTTACTTCTTTTTCCAGGATTATACTTAAAATTTTTTTAAAAAAAAAATTTCAAATAGGCTCTCACTCTGCTGCCCAGTGGGACAATCCTTGCCCTGTGTAAGTTACTACACATTTGAAAGTTTGGGCCTCCATTTTTGCAACACTACACTTGTGGCCATCCCCTCCAGGGGACCAGCACACCTCTAAACAGGTGCTGGTCCAGGTAATTCAGCAGGCTGGCCCCGAGATCCTACTTTTATTATCCCCCAGATATGCCCTCTCCATTCCTTTTCTATCTCAGAGCCCAGACAATGGAGAGAAGAATGCAGAGGAGTAAAATTAGGATAGAACCCAGACTCCTGACTCTCAGCCCAAACATCCGACCGGGGTCAAAATGCCTTCTGAGCCCCAGCTGCCTCTCTCTCTGCACCTGCAATCCTTGCCTCCCTCCATCTCTATTCCACTGGCTCCTGCTAAATCCGAGGCTGAAATCAGATGCCAAGAATCTGCTTCTGACCTTCTCTGCCCAAATATTTGAGAAGTCACCTCACCCGCCACAGGAGGAAAGAGCAGGAAAGAAGAGAGAGAGACAGGCCACCCAAAATTAGCCTGGCTATAAATAGCCAGGAAAGGGAGGGAGGGGAACATGAGAGAGTCCCAGACCAGCCTAGGAAATGTAGATGTGTAGATTTTCCCTAAAGAAGAAATGAAACCAGATTGTTGGAGTGGGGAGCAGTATTTCAGGTTAAGGGGGAATGAAAAAGCCGGAGGAATCCAGAGCAAGCTTAATATTCGAATAAACAACCTGCCAGAGAACTTTTGTATTTGAGTTCAAAGTTCAGGAATTCATTAAACTAAAACCAATGCTGGGAATTCCCTGGTGGTCCAGTGGTTAGAACCCCGCGCTTTTAATGCGGTGGGCCCGGGTTTGATCCCTGGTGGGAAGCTAAGATCCCACAAGCCCTGCGGCACGGCAAAAAAACAAACAAACACCAATGCTGATACTATGTTTTTCCACTAATACAACAAAACTGTGGAGATGAAGAACAGATTGGTGATTGCCGGGGTGGGGGCGGGGACAGGGAGGGGGAGGGGGAGGTGTGAATATAAAAGGATAGCATAGGGAGTTCCTATCCCCATTCCTGAGGATGAAGAGCTCTGTATCTTGATTTTGGTGGTGGTTATCAAACCTATCCGTGGGATAAGATTGCATAGAACTACGCACACACACAAATGAATGCATGTTAAAAAAAAAACTGCGGAAACTTGAATAAGGCTTGTAGGCTAGTTAACAGTATTGTACCTATGTCAGCGTCCTGGTTTTGATATTGTGCTACAGTTATATAAGATGTCGCCTCTGGGGGAAGCTGGGTGAAGGGGTACACAGGATTTCACGCACTATTTTTTTTGCAGCTTCCTCTGAGTCTACAACTATTTCAAAATAATTTCAAAACATTTTAAACATTGATGGATTCCAGACCCAGCAAAGACTTTGGCCCTTGTCTGGCAAGCCCTCCCCTCTCTAACAGCCCTCTTCCCCTCTGACAGGGATCCCTGTTTTTCACCTCCCCCAGATCACACATTTCCCAGCTGCTGTCTCTAGCTTAGGAGCAGACACTTCCAGGACACACACTGTAGGGTTAACTTCTCCCTATACCTCATCTGGCAGCAGAGCCTTGGAGCATATGTCCCAGGGTCAGCCTCTTCCTCCCCAACATACATGAGGACTTTCTCACCCCACCCACCTCTCCAGCACTGGAATCCTTCTGCTAGCCTCTGAATTCTGGCTGGAACCAAAGTTGGAACTATGGGAGTGGCTAGGAGAGAAAGAATATAAACGTGGTTGAGGACAGTCAGTGGGGAAATGACTTGACCGCTCTGGTCTTTGAGGATCCCAGGGAAACTCCTTGCGTCTTGGGGAGAAGGGCTGTGAGGTCACTTCCCACAGAGCCATTTAGACTGTCTTGAGGGCCCCTTTTCTTTGAGCACTGGCTTAAGGCCACATCTGGGACTTGGCCACACCACCAACGGCCCCCTCTTGAAGCCCAGCCAGATTTCCCAGTATGAGAAGCCTTCTCCACTCACACCATGTCCTCCCTCAGTCCTCACCTAACTCCTAACAGCTCAGCAGCATCCGGCCCTAAGGCTTGGCCCGGCTAGTCAGCTTGGAGCTTGCTAATTAAAGCTATCTGAAAGAGACCTCAAAAGAACAGGGAAATGAGTGGACAAAAAGAGTATAGAGTTGCATTCATTTATTCTAAGAGAAAAATAATCTGAGTGGGAAATTGTAAGCAGAGGTGGGCAGAAAGAGATTTCAAATTTCAAGAGTCATTCTCCAGATATTCATGCAGCCAGTGTCCACCTCTACCAAAGGCAGGTGGAGCTGAGTTTCAACCACAGTAGACACTGAGGTTAGACAGTGAGCAACAAGGGCCCAGAAAAAGAGCAGGTGGAGAATGATCCTGGAGAGATCAACTGGAGTCCCCAGATACAGGCACCCATGTCCTCTGCCCAGCTCTAGGGCAAAGGAACAGCCAGTGTGTGGGAGAGGAGGGCAGGGCTGATGTCCGCAGAGTCCTGGCAGCCTCTATACCATTGTGAAAATGTCAGGCAGTTGTACCAATGGGGTGAGGGTAATACAGGATGAGCCTGGCACTCTCCATGAGTCATCCTGATCTTAACAGTACAGACTCACCACTGAAACCCCCAACACCAACCCTCCCTCGTTAGCCCCTGCCCTCTGTTTCATGATCCGCTTGTCACCATTCTCTGGCACCCCGGCCAACCCCTGCCTTTCTTTCCCAGCTTTGTGAGTGAGGCACCAGGCATCTTCCAGTCTGCCTCTATTTTGCTGGCTCACTGCGGTTGGAAGCGAAAGCCAGAGTGGGGGAGGACTGGGCCAGGCTGCCCTGCAATGCTCTCACTCTTCCCGCTTCTATTGATCAGCTCCTCTCTGGAGCGGAGCCTCTTCCCAAACACTCCCCCCACTACCAGGATTCCCTCCAACTGATGCCCCACAAGCATAGAGAGGTATAATGACAAGAGACATGGAGCCGTCCCCAAAAGTGCTTCTGGGCCGCCCCCTCCTGGGTTCTCTCCCATGGTTTCTATAGTATAGTACAGATCTGTATCCTAGCTAGACCACTTATGAGCTCTATTACTGCACTGCTCTGTACGGCAGATTCTTCCTCTGCAAACTGGGGATGACAGTTATTATACTACACATGATTGTTCTAGGAATTAAATGAAATAATACACGTCAAGTGATTCACACATGGTAAGGACTCAGGATATGTTGTTAAATAAGTACATATATAAGCAAAAACACATACACAAAGTATCCAACACTTTTTATTCAGAGTTTTTATTTTGGCACTTAATGTTCTGCTTTATGCTGCCACTTAACCATTTCAACTCACTAATCCTCTGACACTTGTACACATCCCGGGATTTAAGATGCTAGTCTGCAAAGAGTTGAGTGAACTAATCAGTAATCTTCAACTCTGACTCAGAAAATTCAAGAATGTTCTATTCTAAA